CTGATGGAGGGATGGTACAAGCTTAATATTAATAGGGTCAGCATAAGGGGCCCTAGTCAAGATTGCTATGGAGGGGTTTTGTAGAGCTATAAGGGTGACTAGATCTTGGGGTTTATGGAGGACATAGGGTGGTGCTCGACTATAGAGATGAAATGGTAAGGGTGGCAAAAAGGCCTTTTGCTGGCTTGGGATGTTTGGATTCGAAAAGTAGAGGTGGAATTGGACTCATTGATGATTGTAAGTCACTCAAAAAGGAAGATGAAGGTTGGTAAGGATTGTGAGCACTGTGTGAGGGAAGTTGATAAGATGTTAGGACGTTGTTGGGAGGTTTGTCTGAAGCAAATCTCTCAATCTAGAAATGAGTATGTGGATCGACTTGCTAAAGTGAGTCTTGTTTTGTAAATATCTAAGCGGGTTTGGTTTGAGACGTGGGGTGGCTTGAAGAGTTGGTTTAGTTGGAGAAGGTAGGGCTATGCAAAAGTCCTTCAATCTTATTTGATTCAGTCCAATCCTTGTTTTGTTCATTTTGTATAGACATTGGTCATTTAGGACCCAGAAGACTAAAAAGACCAAACTATTTTTTTAGATTGGACTGGACAAGAGATTAGGCATCTAGATCACTTCGTCTAGTCCATTCTTATTAATTTATTTATTATAATTATAATTAATTTATTTTTGACAAATACTTCAAGTGTAATTAATACTAAGGAGATGATTGTATGAAAATTTATTGAATTTATTTATAAATTATTGTTGTAATGTAATATTGTTGAAGTTTGTTAAGTACTGTTTTGTTAAAGTTATAAATTTAAATCATTTGGGCTATAACAAAAATATTTTTTCTTATTATTAGAAATTATTATGGATTTATTATTATTATTATTATTATAAGTGTTTTTACCATCTTAATTGAGTTTAGGTTAAAATGAATTATTGCCTCTCATAGAGGAAAAAGAAAAAAAAATAGTTAAGTAAGTAATGGACTAACAAAACCAATCTCCTAATCTTATGGATCAAGTTCTAATCTTTTTTATGAAAGAGACCGGATTTTAGGTTAGGGTGAAATTCAGTATCATCTTGTCCTTTGTGTAGCCCTAGAGAAGGAATAGATTGGATGTTTGATTCGGGTTGATATTATTGGCTGGTTTTTTTTTTTTTTTATGCTGTCTTTTGGTTTCTTTTTGTTTGGGGTAGGGTTTCTTAGCCTTGTATTTTGCTTATCTCTCTCTTTTTTTAAAAAAAAGTGAAGAACTAACTAGCTGAAATACATGCCTTTTCAAAGTGGATTTTTTTTTTTTTTGCCTGCATTTTCAAAGTGGTTAAATGCATGGGAAGGTATGCCATTAAATTTCAAAATTGGCAGCCGGGTTCTATAGATGTTTTCAGGGTGAATGCAGTCAAAAAGATCCCCAAGTTTTCCCATGTCAGTTTGCTGGCACCTCTAAGAAAAATGAGACAAAACCATAATGATATAATTGATAATATAAGTAGAATTTATTTTTTTGGGCAACATAAGTAAAATTTAGTTTGGCCTCCGACATTGAGCTCTTGAGAATTGGTAAGCTGCCTTGTGATGGAGGCAAAGAAAGAAATTAGAAGGGAAGGAATTGCAAAATTTTCAATGGAAAATGATAGAGACAAACTCTTTCCAAATAAAAAATTTCCAGCGCTATCAGCTTTTGTAGTATTCGTCATCACCGTATCATCAACTTTATCTTCAACGTAATTCTTTTTTAAAAAAAAAAAAATCTGCTGTCATCAATTTTACAATGGGCGCATTATCTTATTAATAATTGACGTCGGTGCATTAATTCGTATGGCATTGATAATCAAACGTGGGTCCCAATGTCTGATTCACATAATCACAATCATATTCGTTGCTAACGAGTCGGCGGCCAAAACAATGAATTTGCTTAGAGAGTCATCATAATTTGTCAACAACTTGGTTGAGATCAGTTGGACCAGAATTACTAATGGCTTGGTTTATATTTTTAAATTTTTTTTTCACGATTAATCCCGATTATACTAGAGTAAAGTCACCATTGAGCAAGAAATCTGAGTTGAATAAGAGACCAAAATAATTTCTAAAAAATCAGACTCGTCTAAACCATTTTTTTCATAAAAATGAGAAAGATTTAAAAATTATGCCTACTTAAAAAACCAAATTCACTTTTTTTACCCTTTACATACGTACATACATACACATGTGTGTGTGAGCTGGCCTAATTTTTTCAGAAAGATGTTGATAGCTAGAGCCATGTGAATGTTTTTTAGCTTGAAGTGAAAGTTATTTTAAAAGCTTAATATATTATCATGTATCTGTCTTCACATAACTTTTTTAATTTTTTGAGCTGCACAGATATTAAATTTTTGTAATTAAATCATTCTAGTATTTTACTTTCAATGAATAATATAAATAATTTATTTTATAACATGATTGATATTTAAATAAGATTTATGTAATTTTGATTTCGAAGAACTTTTTTCAATTGCCATTGCTATTGTGAATAATATTCTATAAGTAATATATATATTTGCAATGATTAATTGATATTGAAAATAGGGGTGATAAGTACGCAGGAATGTGAGGCAATGCATTTTCAATGAAAAGATATAATTAATATTAATGCTTGAGAAAGATAATGACTAGTTATACAGATATAAACTATTAATAAACTTTTTAATTAAAATATATAATTAACATTAATGCTTAATGAGAAAAAATAATGAAGTATAAGTAAATAATTTTTGAGGCACAAGGCCACTGCCTTGATGGCCTACTAACACATATAGTCTTGGTGACCATCATAAATACAAATGCAAATATTTTTTAACATATTTATATCTTATTTAATCAATATCCATCAATATATGACAAATTATAAAACTATAATCTACGATATTATCAATTTATGACCCTATTGTATTATTCTATTAACATGTAAACATATTGTGAATTTATTTATTATATATGTATTTAATATTATTTTTATTTAATTATTAAATTATTTGTATGACTGTCAACCTATTTAGTTGGACCATAAAAATTAAGACATGCTAAGTGCTAACCTTTCTAGTTTAACATTCCATTCAACTTTTAAAAGATTGTGATGTCATGCATTAAAATTTGCTGGGCCTAAGACAAAAAATTGCCCACCATGACCATGCCAGGTGTAGATTTGAACATTACATTTAGTGTGCGTTTGGTTTTTAGTTTGTCAAAAGTCAGTTTGATAAAAGTTTATTTGGCAAAAGTCAGTTTCGTAAAAGTCAGTTGTTGTAACGAAATTTGTGTTTGGATATATTTTTTAAAAGTCAGTTTGGCAAACTGAAAGTTGTTTGGATTTATAAAAATTTATGCTTTTCAAATGTACTTTTTAATATGTAATGACAAAAAAGGACATTGATTTATGATAATTTATAATTTTTATTATACAAATGTAATATATTAAAAAAAGGTGAATCAAATTTAAAATGACATAAAATTTAAAATGTTAAATATTAAGAATTAAAAAAATAAAATTTAATTTTGGAAAAAAATTATGTAATAAATAGTTAAACATTCATTAATATTGAATAGTTACATGATTAATGGTTCGATCTATAATATACAATCTGATCTCTAATAGAATCTCGAACCCTATTCATTTCTCTATCAGAAGCTATGCTTGAAATTGCACTTGGAATTGTTGATGAAAATGCAGGCTCATCAGTATCATCAATAGTGTTAACTATATTTTCGTCCTCAAAATGCCTGAAGTCAGAATCAGTTACAGATTTTCTTCTAATAAAATTATGTATAGCCATTGTTGCACCAACAATACGAACTTGCTGCACAAATGGATAGCTAGGCATATGTCGTAAGATTGCGAATCTATTTTTCCAAACCCCGAAAGTCCTTTCAATCGTGGTCCTTAAGCTTGAATGATAATAATTAAAAATCTCATTATTATTTGCAAATCCAGATGAACGCCTGAAATCGGGGAGGTGGTACCTATGAGATCTATAAGGACCTAAATATCCACGTGGAGTTGGATAGCCAGCATCTAACAAATAATATTTACCTACCAATAAAAAAATAGAAATTATAAGATCCCAAAAAATATTAAAATAATTGTTTAAATTAGATAAATATGAAATATACCTTGGGGTGGATGTGGAAATTTCATGTCTGGCCTTGTGAGAGCATAGTCAAACAAACGAGCATCATGAGCAGTCCCTTCCCATCCAGCCATGACATAAGTGAAGCACATATCCCAATCACATGCGGCTATTATATTTTGTGTTGGAATACTTTTCCTTCCAATATATTTCCCTTGCTCTTCAACACTAACCACACACGGGATATGTGTACCATCAATTGCTCCTATGGCATCTTTAAAGAATGGCCAATATCGCGGATCACCTAAAATTTTTGGATGAATATCTTGAAAAGTGTGATCTTTTGGTTGGATATATTCCTTTGCTAGCTTCTCACAAGCATGTAATACATTTCTAAAATGCCTGTGAACAGTCTCTGCTGAATGTTGAAATCGTTCTTGTGCCATCCTATTCCCCACTCCATGTCCAACAATATTTAGGAACATACCGACCATTTCATGAATCCCTGTTCTTCTGGTTGGACGTAGGCCATGTTGCACTAGTTCGTCACAAAGTTGAAGAAAAATATCTTTTTCCATACGAAACATATCATAACAACGTGAGGATGCCCTTGCAAAATTTCTTGCACCCATGCATGACCTGATTGCGAACTGGTTCTACAAGGCTCTTTCAATAAAGTTGTTGAGTAATTGGATATTATTGCAGTAATAGCCTCAATCTCATCGTCTTCTGCATGTACAAGTAATTGTAATAAGCGAGATTGCGTATTGTCATCCATAAAAACTGCATAGCATAATTAAACAACCATTACACTATTTGTCCATGACTTAACGTAAGAAACACATAGCACAAGAGTCAAATAACACAGTCAGTTTCAAAACAAATTAACAACATGAACGACACTAGCTAAATTTTAAAACATTAGAAGGCAAGCTAAGATGATCTAATTTCATTTTTTGCCCAAGCACCTCAAATAGGCCACTAATGCTCTTCTGTTGTCCCTAAGCCCAATATACATGTCCCTTGCGGTCTTATCTAGCAAGGCCACAGCACACTGTCCAAGAAGCACCTCATCATAAGCAATCTCCTCGATTCCATAAAGTTCCTTTGCAACCTCCAACATATTTTGGTCAACTGGTTTTGTTCCACCCTCTATGGAATTAAGAATTGACTTCAATGTTGAAACCCTATCCTCTTGTGTGGACACCAATCGACTCACTGAATCAACCATCACCGTTGCAAGACGTTTTCCCTTTTTGTTTTGACCACTTTCACCTCTCTTTCGCTTGCTCCCTGAATTAGTACCACCACTGTATGCATTATTCAAGTTAACCTGCCCAATTCCTGGGAGAGCTCCTCCATTAATGTTTCTTATATCATCACTGTCTCCTGATCCTTCGGTCAAATCCAATTGAGGCCTGTACACATCTTGTGGATCATCAGCCGCAGGTGTCCACATGTAAGTGCCCTGTGCTGCAACTGGCTGGAACAACTGTGTCAATTCTTGTGCATATGGAAGTGGTCTATGCCTGAATTTCCTATACTCAGGATTCTCCTGCACATTTACAAGAATTGAGTCTAGTATATCTATAAAATAAAATATGAAATGTTTAGCATGCCATGTATAATTGTATACCTTAATCTTTTGACTCCACCACTCCTCTGGTGCTGAAACAGTATTCTTTTCACTATCCCATCCCAAACCGGTCTCTTTGTTTAATAGCTTGTCCCATATATTCCAATCTTTCCTCAAATTGTCCCATTTATTCTTCAACTGCTTCTTATCATAACTTCTTGAACTCAAAGCATTGAACTGTTGCATTAGCGCCTCCCAACCCTCCTTTGATAAGGTAGAGCCTTTACGCTCATTTTTCTTAACTTGCTGGAGAGCTAATTTAATGAACAATTCGGTTTTTTCGGTAGTCCATAGTGCCTTCTCTTTACTCATTTTTACTATCAAAATATCACATTCTCAATACAAATGAAATTTGAGGAGTAAAAATCCATAATTGAGTTAGAGTTAAAATATTAAAAATTTTACTATCCTTTTTTATCCTTCTTAAAAATTTTACTATCCTTTTTTTGGAAACAAAAAGAGAAAAAGATTATTCGATCATAGTTAATTAACCACTTGTTATCTTAGCCACATATACTTGTCGAAAGAGGCAGTTATTCAAAAGCAGCCATAAGATAATTTCTGTACTCACTCAAAAATTCAAATCATATAATTCAACAGTATGTATTAAAATAAGCAAGTTTGACCAGAAATTTGTAGCCTTTCTCATCCCTTCATCAATTTTCAAAAAATAAATTAGCTCAAATTCTTATCAAAATGAAATTAAAAAAAAACAAAGCAACATAGAATAATCAATAGATCAGTCACCAGAATATATTTCCAAAACACCGTGTCATATTTTAGAACATCAGCAAATCAACAGAATAATTACAAAATGCAGTCATAAATAATGTTCTTGCTTGCTTATTTTTTCTTGTTATGTGAAGCTATCAAAAGAAGGCAATTAAAAAAAATCACACCAGTCTGAAAAATAAAAAAAACATACCAGAATGCTTCATGGTGGTCTGAAAAACGAAAGAAACAAACCGGAACAGAATAATTACAATATGCAGTCATAATTAATCTTCTTGCTTGCTTATATTTTCTTGTTATGTGATCAAAACAAGGCAATTAAAAAAAATTCACACCAGTCTGAAAAAGAAAAGAAACAGACCGGAATGCTTTCACGGTGGTCTGAAAAATGAAAGAAACAGACCGGAATGCTTTCACGGTGGTCTGAAAAATGAAAGAAACAGACCGAAATGCTTCACGATGGTCTGAAAAATGAAAGAAACAGACCGAAACAGTGGCTTCACGGTGGTCCAAAAAAGAAAAGAAACAGATCAGAACAGAGCTTCACGGTGGTCCGAACAAGAAAAGCAACAGATCACATCGAAGAGCAGAACAAAGCAGCACCATTTCCAGATCTGACAAAAAAAGCTTGGAGGCTATCATACCTTGCAGATCGAAGAGCAGATCGGAGAAGAGGATTGGAGTTCCACGAGCTGGTCGGAATGTTCACCTTTGCACTCCACAGGTTGCAAAAGCTGCTGGTCGGAGTTCTCTCAGCTCTGAAATGCCGCCCAAGTCCCAAAATGAGCTTGATCCGTGAAAGAGATGGGGAGAAATTAACAGTGAAATGCAGCCACCGTTGATGAAGGAAGGAGAAGCTTAGGGAAGGAAGAGATCCGGATCTGTGATGGTGGAGGAGAGGCGAAGGAGAGAAGGAGAAGAGATGGCCAAACGGTGGACTAGCGACGGACGAGTGGCGGACGATCGGCGGACACAGAGCAGTAGCAAAGGACGAAGAACACTGATATATCAGCTGCACAAATGAGGACCACGAGAGGAGAGTATGCGTGATATGTATCAGCTGCAAAAGTGAGGGGCATCATGGTCAATAAACAAATTAGGTACCAGCAATAAATGTCCATCCAACTGATCATGTTTTGAAAGCAAGTGGGAGTAGCTTTGCAAATTTTTTCATTTCAAACGTATTTAAAAGTCAGTTTAAAAAGTGCATTTTGTCTGAGAAAAAAAAGCCAAACAACATTTTACATTCAAAAAGTTAAAACTTACTTTTGGAATGTAAACGTAGTGAAATCCAAACGCACGCTTAATATGACAAGTTTTGTTGGCCATAATCTACAAGGAATTTTATATATACTTCTAGACACATAAAGCCTCCTCCAATTATAATCAATCTCCATAATCTTTCTCATTTTCAGTGTATAAAGAAAAAGGTTGCCAAAAAAAGAAAAAAGGTTGCACATGGAATTGCAAAAATGAAAATTTTAGGTCCGCTAAAAAGAAAGAGTCAGCTTGTTTGGGCCGCGGTTGGCCTGTTTTATTGCAAATGCCTAATTGTTTCATCTCCTCCTTGCTCTGTGGCAAAAAAAAAAAAAGAAAAAAGAAAAACAAAACAAAACAAACAAACAAACTTACTCTTTGCTCGCTCGCTCGCTTCGCACGACGTCCTCAGCTTCACGTTGGCCCTTCACTAATCACCGTCGCTGGGTCATTCACCAATCCCGTAAAAGAAAAGAACCGAGAAATGATCGAATGAATCACAGTGAAACGGTGCGCTTGAATTGTCCTTCTTTGATAAGGGTAAAAATAAATTGGACCAAACTGGACTCTGAGTTTGGCCAAATAAGCTTGAACATCTGTGATAAATTAAAAATTTAAGTCTAATCTAAAATTTATATGAGACTTTTTTTATAATTCGGGCTTAAGTCTACTTAAAATTTAACCTAACCTGCAATCCTATTTAAAAGCTTACTTAAAAGTAAAATCTTTTAAGTAAGCTCACATTTTAATTTTAAATGTTTTAAAATATACTTTATGACTATTATAATATATCATATATAATTTAATTTATTAATTATAATATATAAGAATTAAAAGGATTTACTAACTATAATGTAAGATAACAATAAAATGATAATATTAACATTAATATATAAGTTAAATATGATTAAAAATATAATTAAAAATAATAAAAAATAAATTAATTAAAAATTATATGATAAAATTAATGTGTTTGTAATATAATACATAATATATATATATATATATATAAGTTGATTTATTGAATTCATAGATTAGGTTTTAAAAAAGTTTGAGTTGGATTTAAATTTATTTAATAAATAGGTTAAATTAATTTTCAAATAAATTAAACTGTAGGTCTTTAAGCATGCCTATTCGCACCCCTACTCTTTGGCCTCCACTTGTCCTTTCCTGGCCCGTGATCCGCATCGACGACTGTCGAGGCTCCGGAAGACAGTAGTAGCGACTAGTGATTAGCGAAGGACACAATTTTAGCGGTTAATTTTGAATTTCTAACCAAAAGCCCCGCCACAACTGAAATACAGAGATCTCGCTTTTCTTCATTCAAGCCTCCGTTTCCCCCTTTAGCCTTCCTATCTTCTCTCTCTCCTCCCAATTTCCCTTTTCAACTTCTCAACTGTCACAGTAGACTCACTGCATCAAGGCCAAGCAGCACCGGTCTCTCATCCAGGTTAGCTTCTCATTCTCAATCTCTCTCTCAACTCCTCTATTCTGATCTCAACACTTCAACTTAATGCTGGCATGTACTTGTCTATAAATCTGAACTCTTCTCATCGTTTACTCCGCAGCTGTTATCAGTTTTCTTGATGCGCACAATCTATTCGGTCGAATCTCGCATTCACTGAGGCTGTTTGTGAAGGTTATACATTTTGAAATTGCAACATGTACGGGAGAAAAGCGTGCCAGCTTGTTAGGGAGTTAGCAAGTGGAGAAAAAGGCCAGTTGACGCCATTCAATGTAAGGCCTCGTCTTGGTTTTCAGTGAGCTATTTTAACTCGCGCCTTCCTTGAAATTGGATTCCGTAAGCATTATCCTGTTTTACAAAATTCATATGATTGGGCGGGTCAGAAGTCTCCAGAGGCTGCTATGCTCAATTACTGCCAGAAATTTCAGCACTGCACAAGAGCCCTCCGAGGTCACAGGACAAAAGGGGAAGAGGGGAAAATTTGAAACCAGAGTCGTTATTCTTTAATTACAAGACTTATTTTGCAAAAAATGGGAAGCCTGAGTTTTTGGGTTTCAGATTTGGCAAATGATTTTTTTGTCAAGCACACGAAGTTTCACTCGTTATGCACATCAAGTGAATGTCTAATGCACACTTTTGTTAATGCAAAAAAAAAAAAAATTGATCTTGGATAGTAAGGTTGCTGTTAGCCTTTTTGTTTGTTAGGGGTTACATAGACTATTTTTTGCCGCAAAAACTGTTAATTATTGTCAACTCGCGTGACTTGTCCACATCAAGTGCTGCTAGTTTCTAGTGGAATCAATGTTGTATGAGTTCAATCTTTTGTAGTTGTTTGTAATGAAAATATTTCTGAGACTAACATCCTAACCTCTAGTATGCTCAAAGGAGAAAGCTTATACCTAGGTTTTGGCCCTTAGTCGCTCCTTCACTTGAACTACATCTGTTTTTGGTTGCTAGGTGGTATGATATGGTTTTAGTTATTATGTGTTGTGATATGGATTACTGCTGATGGGCTTCAGATATTAATGCTACATGTGAATCTATTTAATTAAAAAAAAAAATCAGCTTTGATGTTTACCACTTCAAAGCTATGTTGGGATTGATTTAACTAATAATAAATTCTCCTTCGATTCATAGGTCTATAAACATTCTACAACAAAACGTTAGCAATTGAGTGCCAAGTTACCATCCTTTGTAATCATGGTTTGTCCAGCAGTTTTATTTTTGAATTCTTTCTTACAAGCCTGGTCTGGTTAGCTTGCTAGCTCTCTCTTGGTTTCCGTCCAGCTTTTTTTTTTTTTTTTAACTCTACTAATTTCATACATAGGCCGAACGAAAACATGTCAAATACTTGGCCCAGAAAGTAGAAAATAATAAAAACTTTTCAGGAAATGGCATGAAGTACTAGTGCTAGAACAACCGGCCCCTGGAAATAAAATATCTTGGGAATTTAACCTTCTTCATCTGACCTTCTTTTCTCATTAATCTTCATCCATCAACATCATAAATTGATAATCCAAACAGAACCACAATTCACTACCTCTTTCCGTACTATGATAATAGGCTTATTTTCCGCTCTTCAGCTGTGCGTTGTATTATGCTAGCCTTGGCTTGATGGTTTTTTATAACCTTACAGAGTGATCTGTTCGAACAAGTAGTTGCAGAATGCACCCAACATCACCTTGAGCTTCAGTCATTGATAAGGTAAAAATTATACGGATTCTTGAATACGCCTTGTCCTGGAGAATTCCACATTTTATTGGAACAATCTTCTTTATACGGGCATGAATTTGATTTATTATGGTGGGATAGCATAGTTTCAATTTTTCTTTTAGAGGCAAATTAATAAAAAATATAAAATTTGTTGCATGGAGCAGTATTTATAAACTATAAACAGTGTGATTCGTTTCCTAAACATTATGCAATTTGCCAAAAATATGTATCTAATTAGATGACTACTTTGTTTTTTATATCTCCATACATTCTTCTGTGAACTCTGATTACATGGATTTTTAAAATAGGTAACTTATTAGCATCAACTTCAAGGTCAAACAATTAATTTTCCGATGAGCATATACTTGAAAATTTTCATCTTTATTGTTGACAAATGTTTCACTACACCTGTAATTCCATCACCATTGTTCTTTGCGATTCACATGAATATGTGCCCCTTGCTGCAACAGAAAGATGCAGGAAGAAGGGTTGGATGTCCAAACAACTAGAAATGCAGAACACCATGGCGCACTTATCCACCATCTTTCTTTAGTTCGCAATAAACGCTGCCTAATGGCCTATGTGTGAGTGCCTCCTCTAAATATCTTTCCTTTTTCCTTGCCAGGCGTAGGCTTTTAATTTGTTCTTATATATTCTGTAACTTGTCTTGACGCAGTTATAATCGAGCAGAGGCTATACAGGGTTTGTTATGGAAAATTGGACATGTACTTCCTCAAGAAATTGAGGAGAAGCTTTGTCATACGGAGGTAGAGTATTTTAAGAAGCATTCCGCGGCTTTGAAATCATACATGTCAAAAGTGCAACTGGATCTGACTGTGGTAATTTCTTCTCTCCCTTTCTCCTTCCCCCATCTCGTTGTTCTCTCTTTATTACATGCACAGACACATAAACCTGCATCACTGATACTTATATTCAGACCTTGTCTAGAGCATTTGGTCACGATTTCTGATAACGAGGGTTATATATTGTTGAACTCATATTGGATGTGGGTCCAGGGACTTGATTTTTAAACTATTCCGTGCTTCCAGTTATATTATCCTTGATGATTCCTAGTTGTCATGCCACTTGATTGACCACTGACCTTATGATATTAACCCTTTGCCTCTCTTGTCTTATATACTTTGAAGTTTCCTTGTAATGCTGGGGGATGTATTTTTTCCGGTTAAGCATCTGCAAGGGAAGCCAAATTGAATGTTATCTCTTAAAATAAGTAATGCTGATGCTTGTGTTAATGTACCTTGAGCTCTATTGCCATGGACAGCTCGAATACACGTTCTTTAAAAATGGTGATGCGTGTCGTAATTGGCAATCATCCATCGTTAATTCGTTATACGATGTTACTTTATTTCGTTCTTCTCGCTTCTTGATTTGTCTCACATCGTAATTTCACTATAAGAGAAACGATAAAGCAAATAGGCTGACGGTCAGGAAAGATTGGATTTATATAATGCTATTTATTGTTTTTGTGAGTTAGAGAAAGATACTTGCACTAGATAATACTTCTACGAGAATGAACGAAATTACTCGAACCCGATTCTTGGTTCACGGCAAATACGAGAGAAGGAAAGAGGGTTTTTCTATATGCTTTTGTAAATGTCTAGAATGAGAAGGGGGACCACGGTTTCGCCACAGCCTCTTGCATATAACTCCCGCAAATTTCTCCTTTGTGGTTTCCGAACGTGCAAGCCGGTAATAAAATCATTCCCACACTTTTTCAAATAAAAGGAGGAACACTGCACTAAAGGACCCAGCATCTCATTTATATGCAGACAGCTCCCATCAAGTATGGGCTTGGGTGCTTGATCTATCAAGGATGAACATGCTAAACCCAACAGTTTTAGATAGCAGAAGGAAAAGACAATCTGGGTGCAAATAACTAAATTGTCCTTGCTGAATCTGCATTTTACAGGATATGGTGCCGCCAAAAGATCCCTACATTCAAGTGAGGGTCCTCGATGATATTGGTGATGGGATTGTGCTTAGTGATGACAAGACCGCCAATTTTGCCCTCCATTCAATGCATTTCCTGAAGCGAACTGACGCGGAGCAATTTATCTCACGGGTTAGTTGTCTGCTTCAAATTCCTGTTGCAAAATTTCAGTGAATTGCCATCTGACTTTTACATTTTCATCACAGGGGTTGATGGAGGAGCTCACAGGTTGACATGATAAGCTTGTCATTTTAATGTTTTTTTATACATTAAAGTAATGTAGATAATAAGAAATTAGAAAATCAGTGAACATTGTGTGAAATTCCAAGTCATTATATCATTTTTTTCCCCTTTAAAGATGTATTATCATTAATAATGTTCCATGAAATGGTCCTTGATGTAGCTTTGAGCACATGCGCATGATTAGGAAGATTACATGTAATGAGAGGAGTCAATTCTGACCCTTTTTGCTTTTGTTTTTTGGGCCACTGCGGCACGTGTGTTCTTACCTTTTTCTCAGTAAAGTGTTTCAAGAAGATTTCAAGGATGTTTAAACCGAATGGTCTTGGAGGATAAGGTTACACATTTTATCTCCTAAAACATGATTGGAAGTTAAGATTGAAAGATTTTAAAGTATAAAAAACTAGAAATGTAGAGTTCAGTCAAGAGATGAGATATCATAGTCATAGGGAAGAGTTCTTTTACCCATATACACGAATGCTCTTTTTATTGGAAGATATAACGTTTAAGAGATTCTTAAGAATTATTACTAATATTGATTATTGCTCTTACTCTACATTGTCAACTTATTGCTCACAAAATCATGCAACTAGCTGTGTGTTGTGAGAAAGAAATGACAAATGTTCCTGAATTAAAAGACGCAAGAAGAAGCGAGAGTTGGGTGAATTAGGACTCCCCTTATTGAGCAATTGTGGACTTTTTTACCCTTGATGCAACCACACCCTTCAACCCAATTCCACTCCCACTCACTATCCTCATCTCTAACCTTTCTCCAGACCACCATTCCTGAACCAAGGTCTCTGTACAAACAAATAGCCTCATCATTACCCACACACCTTGTGCTATCCCAATTCCTCTTCTTGTTCCCTCCCAACAATCTCAACCCTAATTCACTTGGTACCTTATCTTTCAAAACCCAGACACCCCCTTCCTTCATCTCCCAAACACAAGCATTGCCACCACTTGTCCCTCCAACCAAACCCAAAACCCCATTCCTCTGAACCAGTGTGGCAAATTCTAGCCTCTCTGCCATGGGCACAGTTAGCTCCTTCCATGTTTTGTGAAAATGTCAAACCCAATTACACTATAAACCCTCGCGGAAGTGATCCAGTACAGGACATTCTCAATGCGCACACTCTCATATGGGGTCCAAACTGTAAGCCTGACTGCAAATTCCACCGGCATGGCTCCCACAGTCTGCCACTTGTCAAGCTGTGAGTCGTACATCTCTGTTGTGGGTTCATAGGTGGCACCGCCGCCTTGAGCCGCCTCAGACATCCCTCCGGCGACGTAGATTCTGAAGGAAGGGAATTGAACTCCATGGTTCAAAACTACAACTCCCACGGCTGGGTTTGTTCTTGAAATGTTCAATACAGGAAGGTAACCAAACTGCCTTGAAAAAGGATTGCAGATAGCAAGTTGGAGAGTTGTAGAATGAGAGATTTTCAGTAGGAGGAGGCTCCCAATAGGAGAAACAGGTTTCATTGGGACTGGTAAGAACTCTAGTGATAGCTCGTGCCAATTGTTCAGGACTGGGTTGTGAGCATAGCAACATGACTTCTGGTTCCTTAGTGGCAGACCTAAGAACCATGGCTCATGATTAGAGTGTGATGATGAGGATGATAAGAAGTTGAAGGAGTAATAAGTTTTAGAACATATGTGCCAATTCTTGCAGGCAGATCTAGCTCTGGCTAGAGAATCTGGGGAGAGAAAGGAGAAGATGTTGGCTAAAACATCGAAGGGAAGCTTGCTCCACATAGATGCTGTAACAGTGAAACGAGCTTCAAGATGATGTCTTTTGGTTTGCACATATCTGATGGTATTCGGTTTGCAATTATTGGAGGTGAATGATTGATTGTACATAGGGATGTGTGACCCACTCTGTCATCCGATGAGTTCTCTCACTCACATGGGACGTTGTCCTTTTTATCCCCGTTAACCTCTTCCTTGGGGGAAAATTGGCATAAAGGACCCCAAACCAATCTTATTTGAAAGAGAGGATCAAAAGAGTGAAGTCTTAAAAAATGCTTTGTAAGTTACAAGGAGGAGAGAATGAATTTTTTTATCAAATTTATAAGGCATATTATTAACTTTTTATTATAAGTTATTCCATTAAATATTGATAAAAAAATGTATTATTAAAGTACTTCCTCCTGTCTTTATTATAAGGCACCTCTCTAACAGCCTCATCAAAATTAAATAAAGGTGATTAAATAATTAATTTTATTTAAAAATAGAATAAATTTTAATTTAATCCCTATTTAAATGAATTTTTTTTAGATTTGCATTGTATTCCCATTCATAATGAATGAGTTTAAATAGGGGTAGTATTTTGAAAATATAATTAGTATCCTATTAAATGTCTTATATTAATGATCAAATAATTCTTCTAAAAGGTATCTTATAATAACAATTGAAGGGAGCATGTATATTTAAAGGAAACAAAGTTAAAAACTTATTAAATATTTAAAATAAAATATTTTAAGATTTTTCTTGACTTCAATTAAATATGTTGAAAGTGACTTATAAATAATATGAGAAAATATTCTTTTCAAATAAATTTATCTTTGTTGATATTTTCATATCCGTTTCCCCCTTTCTTTGGTATACTTTCCGGCTTTACCTTGTTAACCAGAGAAAAAAAATAGTAAAGAATAGCAATAGATGCTTGTTCCTCTTAGAGGCGTCCAAAGGGCGAGAGAAAACTTACCGCCTTGCTTGGCTTTTTCAAAACTGCTTTTAATGGCAAATGATGATGCGTATGGCTTTATATTTGGCATTAATATAATTATCAACGGTTTGTAAGGTTTAGAATATGAAGAAAATGATGATGATGAAGAATTAAGAGTTGGAGAGGCCAGGTTATGATGAAAGCCATATTTGAACTATAATATGACGATACATATGATTTCAGGGCTATTAACACAAATATTGTGAAAGATATATAAAGTGATGAGGTTGATGGTTGCACGCTAAAATGATAGCTTTAATTTGAAGATAGTGATGATATTTTGGTGTACCCTACGAATCATGTTTGAAAATGGAAACCTGACCAATTTGGGACGCAAGTGCCACATTCTTTTAAGTGTAAAAGGGAAAAAGCTAAGATAAGAGGAAAACCATAGCCGTCATTAATCATTTGATTTTGATTGATCGAGCTGTTAACACACACACACACACAGGTACAAGTAGAATAATATAATTAACCTGAAACAAACCATATTAAGTATATATTAATTAAATTTAAAAATAAATTATAAGCATTAATTTGAATTTTGGTTTTCCAAAGTTGGTCTTATCATATGTAATGAAAAGAGTGAGGGATGAATGGCTTTGTAGCACAGTGACATGTAATTTCTTTTTTTTTTTTTTGGTAAGCAGAAGGTTTTTGGTTTAATCCTCTACTTATAACTGAGGTTATGAGTGTCTTCCTTCTAATTAAAGAAAAGAAAAGGAACAAAGGAGGAAGGAGGTTGATGGGGTCAACGATTGCAGAAGGCAGGCAGTGAAGCTGCAGGAAATGCAAACCAAAACGAAACTAGTGAGTGAGTTGTACTCTTCTTTGTTTTATTTGTTTTGAATGAACGTTGTGCTGATCCATGATTTTTTTTTTTTTTCACGTTCTAGCATTTAATGCTGTACCGTTTGTGCTTTATGGTGAGAGTGATAGGACGAACATCCAAATGCTTGTTTGAATAGGACTCGGCAAATAAAATAAAATAAAATAAAATAAAATAAATAAACGGACAAGCGGCATTCAAATCCACCATTATTTTAACTGGCTTGACTTTGTTCCTTTTAAGCTTTTTTTTTTTTTTTAGAAACCTCTGCTACATCTTAATCAAAATTTAAACGATTCAAATTTAATATTTTATTTTTATTAAAATAAAAAATTATAAAATTATAATTTTTTAAATAAATTTTGTTATCAATTTGGATAATTTTAAATTTAATACTATTGGTTTAAATTTAATATTTAATTTTTTTATAAATTGATTATTTAAATAGATATACTATGAAATTTGAACTATGCAAATTTACTATAAATGGTTCAAATTTAAAATTAAAAATTTTTATAAATTAATTATCTATATATCTTATGGACAGTGCAAAAAAATTTAAAAAATAATAAGTTAAATATTTTACATCAAATTGTACATCTGAATAATTAACTTATAAAAAAATTAAATATTAACTTTGGACAATTAATATTAAATTTATACTATTCAGATTGATAACAGGATTTATTAAAAAATTTTATAAAAAATAAAATATCAAATTTGGACAGTTAAAATTAAATTTAGATCGTCTAAGTTTTGGTTGGGGTGCAAGTGCAACGGAGGCTCCTGCAAGAAAAGCCACCAAGAAACAAAGCTAAATTTATTTGAATAATGGTGGATTTGAGTGCCACCTAGCCGTCTGAGTTTTTGTTTTTTGTTTTAACTTAAAAGTCAATAAATTTTAATGTAGACAAGCTTTTAAATTTGACCTATTTTAAATTAAATCATGTAAAAAAAGCTCTACTCATTTGGATTCTTTTTTATTTTATCTCTAAAAAAATTAATTTTTAAATTAAATTTAAAATTTAGAATATATATTTATACTTTAAAATTAAAATGTATAAATTTTTAATTTTTGAATATTATAATTTATATTTTAGAAAAAGAATATGTTATATTATAATGCAAAAATTAAAATTTTAAGACAAAAAAAACTAATAATAAATGAAGTTTTGCTTTAACTTTACTTTTTCAAACTGTAGTTTATAGAAATTTTAGTTTTGGGAACACTAGTCTAAATAAGCACTTAACTTTTGGAAAAAACAAATTATTTTAAAGAAATGTTAATTAAAAGATTATCTACGATAAATTTTTTCATAATTAGAAATCATGAGGAGAACGAAGATGATTAATGGAGAGAAAAATGATAATGAGGGAGGAAACTAGTAGTTTTAATTATACAAATTATTTACAATAAAATTTAATAATAATAATAATTTCAAATTAGAGATTCCATGCAATCCACCACTATGCACCTACTAATAAGTAAGAATAAATAAATACGGGTAGGTTTGTTGCCCAATAAGCAGATTTATCATTTGCATATATCTTTTTTCAATTACACAAAACCTCCTTTCTAATCTATGCCATTGGTGATAATATATTGCTTTAAGCTCTAATTATGTTTATAAGTTACTTTTAATATATTTTATTAAAATAAAAAGCCTTAAAATTTAATAATTTTATGTAAAAATATTTGTATTACTAATATTTAATAGAAGGTAAAGTAAAAAACATTATAATAAAAAAATAATGATATGGTTTGTAAATAGAAAAAAAATTCTTATATCTCCACCAGGGAGCACATGCATATGTATGCCACGTGCACGTTATATCTAAATTAAAGCACTCCAAAAATATTGCGCTATAGGTTTTTTTTATGCTTTTGTAATGGTTTTAGCCTCCGTGGAACCCATGCAAAATGGTTAATTGGAATTGATATTAAAGTATCTATTACTTTTTTTTTTGTAGAATATGATTTATCAACTTTAATGGTTATTATATAGCCTTGTCAATATGTGTCATTTTATAAACCTCACGGTTAGGAATAATCACAATCAGCAAACTTTTATTTAAAAATAAAAAAGAATGGTTCTTCAATGACGGTTCTACATTTATCCACCACTAAAGCATGCTTTAATTAATTAATTATTTAGCGATAGTTCAATTTTTAATCACCAACAATGTTAAACTGCCAGCAATGCTAGAGATTCTCCCAAACCGCTAGTAATATTGAGAATATTAGAAATAAAGAAGCCCTATATTTAATAATTAGAAAATATATTAAAAATATATAAGGTTTGAAATTTGTCTAACTAAAGAATTTAATATGGTATTAAGAGCTATTTGGTCTAAGGAAACAAAAAGAAAAAAGAGATAATAAAAGAAAACAAAAAAATAAAAAAACCATCAAAAAGAAGAGAAAAAAAGATTAAAAGAAGTGAAAGAGAGAATGAAAATTATGGACTTAATGAGACTAAAGAAAAAAATACAAGTGCACACAAAAAGAAAAAAAAATTAAAAAAAGTAATAGGAAGAATGTTAAAAATATATAAAGAAATCTCACATCTAATAATTAAAAAATAAATTAAGAAAATGTAAAACTTGAGATGTCTTTAACCAAATAATTTAAACTATTTTATGAATAAAGTAGATTATCTTTAAGCATATTTAATAATTTAATATAAATAATTAACAGAGAATTCTCTTAAATTACAATTTTTAATTGCCACCAAAGAATTGTCACTGTAATTAATTTGCATTTTTTGGTAGGAAAAGTTGTAAGAATAAGTCATGCCAGTCAAACACAAATAGACTAAAAATGAAGTTATGCTGTTATATGAAAAGAAGATTTCACAACACTAATACCCTAAAAATTAGAGTTTATATAGAGTAAACTCACACAAAATATAACAAAAAAGCTATTGCTTGTTAATTTTGCCAACTACCTAGAAGCTTTTGTAACATCCTGATTTTAATATAATAAAGAAATTGTGGAATTTAGGTTTTGAGGAAAAAAAATGATAATAATAGGAATTTATATTATTTGAGGTTATTTAAAAATGATATTATGGTTAGGTATTTAATTATAAATTTAAAAATTTAAATTTAAAATCACATAAGCAATATTTAGTTAAGATATAATACATAAATAATTTTTTATTGTGTGTTAAAAAAAAAGAGAAGGTAGAAGGAACAAAAAAAGGGGGGGTGGAAGGTTATTGTTTCTAAGTCCCACATTGGTTAGATGAGGAAAGAGAAGAGGTGCCTTCATGTATAAAAAGGAGGGGGTGTGTGCATTAGTAAGCATGAGAGGCTAAGATGCAATTTAGAGAAAATTGCAACTTTTAGCCTAAAGGTTTGAATAATTAAATTCGAACCTATAGTTTTTTTTTTAATATAATTTTGGGACTCACAATCCTATTTTTATATTATTTTTCTCTCTTCCTCTCACGTTGCTCGGCGTTTTCTCGTAAGGGAAGATTATTTTCTTTTTCTTCAGGTATGTTTTAACTTTCCTGTTTAGATTAGTATTTAAAAATTTATTTAATTATAAAATTAATTTTATAGTTATTTTCTAAATAATATTAGCTTTCTAGTGATATGATTATTTTATAGGATAGAGTAAATATTCTGATTAGGATTTTTTTCTATAGGATAGTTAATCTGATGATATGATGGATTAAAAATATAGTTTAAAACTCTTAGGGATATAATAAATATTATAGAATACTTTCTTGAGGTTGAAACTCATGTTTAAGAATTTTTGAGTTAAAATCTAGATCTATATGGTTGAATTTAGGTGGAATCTGAGACGTAGGGATAAACCTATGATTATTAAATATTTATTTAAGTTTGAATAGGTATTTTTGAGGTTATAGAAAGGTAATTTGAGGCTTCAGGATAATTTTAAAAATTTAATTTATTTTTGGACGAATTTTTAGAATATAGAAAGATGAAATTGTGATACTAGAAGTGATTTGAGGATAAAAAAAAAGTTTATTAGGGTACGAGAATTTAAAAAAAAAGAATTTGAAAAGTTAAATGAGGCATAAATCTTAAATTAGTGTTAATATGAATTATAGATCTAAGACTTTCTAACTCTTAAAATTAGAGTTATTTATTTTAATGTAAAATTAATATATAGTATTATGAAATAACTATGTAGATTGTGTTGACAAAGATAGTGGTGAAAGAGGAGTTGTGAAGGGGAACTTGTTATTCAAGACACAAGGTAACCATTATTAATGTGTTGTGATGGGTGTGTTTGTGAATGGTTATGTGTTGTTTTGTTGTTTGGAAAAATTATGAATTATTGAAAATAAATACTGTTATATACTTTCGTGAAATCATTGCCAAGTGGGTTAAAAATTTATTTTTGTTTATCATGATGAGATATTATTGTTCGGATATATTTCTGTTTGGATATTTGAATGATGCATGACTTGTCAGGGTATTTTAATGTATGGTGTTAATGGGAATTTCTGTTCCGTTAATTATTACCACGTGGTAAGCCCTCATTGGACCCAATGAGTGGCGTGTCGCTTGGTCCAACTCACCTTTAGCCGGGTGATTTGGCGTCCGAGCATGGCGAAAGGAGGATATAAGGTGTAATCATGCAAATTAAATACTTGTTCGGTTTGTTTGAAAGTATTGTTCGGTTAAATGTTTTGTGTGCCCACTTAGCAATCGCATGATTAGTTACATCCGCATGCATCATTACATATTAATTTTTGGTTACTGGGACTTTTAAGTCTCATTCCCCGTGGTTAATATTTTTACAGGAGCGAGTCCGGCCGAGAAAGCACCAGAGGTGTAACTATGGTGTATGAAACACCATCTTTTACGTTGCCTCTTATTTTAGATTATACAATGTATCTTGTGCCAACTTAGGACATATCTTCTTTGTGAAGCATGTAAACTCTAATCCTTTTTATTAAAAGTATTTATTTGACCAAGAGGATTATGTTGTCTTGAATGTATCATGGTAAGAAAATTTTCTACCATGATAATGGTTTTAATAATTTGCGAAAAATCAGTTTGTAAATTTGAGGGTGTTACAGCTTTAGCCTTTAGTGATTTGTTTCCTTGGTGCTGCTTATATTGTTTATAGTGTGGTGAACAAATTATATATATATATATATATATATATATATATGTATACACGTGCTTATCTTTTGAGAGAATAAAATTAGATTCCATGCAATTTATAAATATATAAACCATATAACTTATGAATTTTTTTAGCTCTCTACACACATTTCATTGGACTCTGTAACTTTTATCTTTGATCTTTAACATTTTCTTACACATTTCAACATGATCTAAATGTTAAAAAAAAGTAAAATTTTATAAAATCTTTTAAATCATTTATCTTCACTATGCATATTCTGTTAGACTTATATATAATTAAGGATATTTACGATATTTTCTTTTAATATAATTCTACTTTTGGTACATAAAAAGATAACCGGCCTAATTTTTTTTCGTGGCCACCAATATCCTTAATTAGGTAAGTCGCGCATTTATCAGGAAGCATTTGTGCATGGTACTCCCTATATTATATATATTTTCCTTTTACTGAATAATTAAGAGAATAAAGGGCATTTTATTCCAAATAAAAAATATTATGAAGATTATATTATTAAGGTTCACATGTAAGTTAAAAAAAAATAAAAAATGCAAAAGAAAGCCAACAACTTCTCTGTGCACGCGTGCTTGTGCGTTTGAGATTAGTTTTAGACTTTTAGTGATCAACAAGGCGAGATTAATCTTTGTTCTTATCATCATATTCATATGTATTCTTCTATATCATTGATCGTTTCCTGTGTTTGAGATTGATTTTTGTTCTTATCATCATGGGTGTGTTTCTGAGATTAATTTTTGTTCTTATTCATCATCATCATAATTAAGTCTCCTTTTATCGTTGTAGCGGTTCCTTCTCATTTGCTGATAGATAAGTTGTGGTGGGGTAAGATATTATTGTTAGCCTTGACTACAATAATCTCCCTAATTAATGAGTATAGTACATCATTTGATTTGTTTAATGGTTGTATGATATCCTTCCAATTAATATTTGTCTAAAGATGAATACAAAATGCTAAATTTAGAGAAGAAGAGTTAACTTTTACGTTAAAATGTGATTTTCAAGCTAAAGTAGCTCATAACATTGGTGACAAGAAGACGATACGCAAGCTTTTTACATAAACAAATTTTAATATTGGCAACAAAGATTGATCTACTTGAGAAAAAAAGCCATTCATATCCTATAAGAGTGTGTGTATATGTAATTGAATTCATTTATTAACATGAAAACCTGATTGAGTAATATGTATATCTTTGTTAGTGCTCTAAGAGTAGTTAGGCTTATATGCTCTGATTTTATTAAGCTATATGAGTAACTATGATTATGCATGTGCTTGTTTGTGATTCCATTTGGTTGGCTCAAACTGTAATTTGTATAATGAAAAGGTAGTTAAAAATAAAATAAATATGTTAGGATAAATTTAATTGGTACAGGTAGAAATAAAAAATGGATAGGTCGGGCCCATTTGGGCTCTACTCTTATGAGCCTGAACCCATAAGAGTAAAGCTCTTAAGCTTAGTTTTTCAAAAACTATCTAATTTTTGAAGTCTGACTCTTATTTAAAGGGTTTAGGATTAGGCCATAAGTCCTTTATTATTATTATTATTATTATTATTAAAATTAAAAATTTTAATTATAACATCATATATTTTTAAAATAAAAATTATAATATTGAAAAATTAAAAATAAATAATAAAAAAAATCAAATCCTAAAGTATAAATGTATATTTTAAAGTTTAAATTTAATTTAAAAATAAAAACATTTTATTTTTTGAGTTAAAATAAAAAAGGGTTTAAAAGGGCCGTTTGACTATGTTTTTTTAAGACTTATCAAGGTTGGGTTTCAAAGCTCGAATATTATAAAAATGAGTCTAAAGGGGTGGCCTATTAAGCCTGATCTTTATTCCCGACTTTAAATATGAGCTTTTTTTTTCTCAACTATAATTAGGCCAAAAGTTAAGTTTTGAAGCTTCTACATTAGTTAAGTTGGGATCTAACCATTGATTGTATTTAATGCACTTTAGAAATTATTGAACAACCCATTTATCCTTCTATTTCCATTTGAAATTTGACATTTTTATTATCTGTAATATATATTTTTATTCTTTAAATAGATCTAGTTAATTTTTAAGTATTTAAAAATAATTTTTTTACAATAATATATTAACTATTTTTTATTTTTATAATTATAATTATAATTTTTTTCTTGAATATATCAAATTTCATATTTATAATATATATTGTGTGTGACATAAAATTTAGCAAGAATTATATACAGGTCTCACACAAAAAAAATTAATTATTATAAGATTAATTAACAATTGAAGTAAGACCATAGTTTACTTGTTGATGGATCTTATAATAAGTAATTTTTTTGTGTTGGATTTTGACATAATTCTTTCTAAAATTTACATCCTTTTCAATTGTTATACATCTAAACTTGTTTTTTAATTATATTATCCAAACAATTTTTAATTTATTAAATTTATTTTTATAAGAAAATATTCAAATATAAATCATATTATAATAATTGACTTCTAATTTAATTTCAGTTTGCAAACTGTAATTTGTGCAAATTTTATTTACGCAAACTTGATCCCTATATGATCTGTTGTAATGGGATGTAATGAAGATTATGGGATTACTTCACTATGCCAACCAAAGTTCATGAATTAGCAAAATGCATCAGATTCCTAATATATGGAATTTAACCAAAAGTGAAATAAGAGAATCTGGCCAACTAATGCTTTGCTTGAAGTTAAAACCTGAAAAGCATTATTGTTATTATTGTTGTTATTACTGCAATTCCAACCCCGCTTTGGTTCAACATGGCTTGAGTGGGGCCTTTTCAGCAGAAGACAAGGGAGAAATTTGGCTCTCTTGCAACCTTTCCATTGGTTCAGTAAGCTTAGCTTTCACAAGTGGTAGGTCGGGACGTAATCATGGCCCAGGAGGTGAATGACACGCATGGCAGCAAGACTGTTCATTTCTTTCTTCCCACTTGCTTCTGTCGTCCATTTTTGAATAATTGCTATCGGTGAAAAGTGAAAACTGATAACCCTCATAATTAGGACATTATAGTGAGGATTTTACTTGCTAAAATTACTTCATTCTTACCATTTTAATTGCGACTTACGTTTTCTCCTGAACATTGATTTTACTAGAGGGATTGCATTATTGGGTTATTTCTTGCTCCCGTTTTACTGTGGGGTTTACTCTTGAGAGAGACTCGTGGGTATTCTGTTTAAGGCGTCTGCATAAGTAAATTTGGATGGTTCTTGCTCATCGAAGCTGTGACTCTGGAACGCAAATGGGGTGGTTCTAGGAATTGAGCATTTTAAATATCTGGAGCTTTGTTGGAGGTGAATCCTTGTAGCATGTTGGATTGTGATTACAATGTCCTGTAAGCTACTTCCTCTTCATTTTTAGTAAAATTTAAGAGCTTTTAATTTGTCTTGTTGGCTTTGATGTTGGGGATGTTGGATGTGATCCTGACGATGTCTTTCCAAACACTGAATTATCCATCCCAGACATTTTGTTATGCTAATACACCTAGAAACAAGTACAACGCAAGGTCTTATCAAGTTCAAGCTATACCTCCATCATCAGTTATCCTGAGTGCAGATGAAAGTGGGAAATTTTCTGACAATAAGAAGGTTTATGGCTCAAATCTTACTTCCAGAAGGGTTGAATCCGCTACTCCTCTGATCAGCGAATCGAGTAGTGTGGGTATAATTGGAGGGGTATCTGTTGATGCTACCCTGAAATTTTTGAGAAAACTTGTGGAGTTGAGTTCATCAGAAGAAGATGGAATAAATTCCCTTCCTTTTGCAGTCTGTTCTGATCCTTTGTTAAATAAGGAGCTGATGTCCTATGAGAAGAGTCACTTTTACTCTGGCAGAAGCAAAGCCGAAAGTTTGAACTTGGATACTTCTTCAGTTGTGCATAATCTTAGGAATAAAAGGAGTTTTCTGGAGAAATCCGGGGCTTCTTGCATAGTGATGCCTTGTCACATATCACATTCCTGTTATCCAGAAGTATCTCAGGAATGTTCTGTCCCTTTTCTTCACATGGGAGAATGTGTTGCTAGTGAGCTCAAGGAAGCTAAATTAAAGCCACTTGAAGCTGGTAGTCCCCTGCGGATTGGATTGCTTGCAACCAATGCGACTCTAGCAGCTGGATTTTATCAGGAGAAACTTCAGAATCAAGTATTTATTCTCTGCATATTATATCTGTCAATATTATTTTAATAACTTGATGCTCAAAATCTGAGAATCATTTATATTATTTAACGGCATCACATGTTGAAATAGTTTTCTCTAACTTGTCCCCATGATAAAAGTCATTCTTTAAAACAGTCTGGCTGTTAGAACACTCTGATGCAGGGCCGCATATCTTCAGAAACTTACTTTAAAATTCCTATGCAGTCATCAAATTTTAACACACCGTATTGAGTCTCAAGATACTTGAAAATATGTATTAGATTACGGTCCAACAGAAGAAGCAATAGCTTGAGGAATTGCCTTAGGGGTCTGTTAAGCAAGGGGCGTTTGAAGCTATATCAAACAGGAAATGTCTATTTTCGTGTTTTACCAATTGTTTTGCATATAAAATTTCAATTTTCATGCCTTCTGTGCCTCGTCAGGATCTTATATTTGGTTATATTTTTATGTTCCAAGTAACCATTTTTCCGAGAGCTTTTAGTATCAACATGTTCGGTTATCCTTATGCCTGTTTCTTGTGTCTAATAAACTGAAGAATTTGAACCTTGAAAGACAAGATCTTTAACCTCTAGTTCTTGAAGGTCATGTGCATAGGTAGATTGGTATTGTTTTGATTCTGATGGCAGTTGAAGCACAAACAAATCTCTAAGTAGATAAGTTGAAATAATTTGATTGTTCCTTTTGTAATCCAAAGCATTATGATCCAATGAGACCTAGATAGTTTAATGGAACTTCCACTCAAGAACTTCTCTACACAGCCATAATAGAATTTGTCTACTTTTCTTGAACACTGTTTTGTTCTTTCTTCTGGGATTAGTTTCATTGGTTTACAATCTATGTGGTAAAGTACATTGCTATTCAACCACAGCTACATCTGTGTACCTTATAAATAGAGACATGCAGAAGATTACTAATAGTTTTGTTCATCTTATTTACTTGTATGTAGGGGTTTGAGGTTGTGCTGCCAGATAAAGCAACTATGGAACATACAGTGATACCTGCAATTGAAGCTTTGAAAAGAAAGGACATGGAAGGTGCATGCAATCTATTGAGAATTGCTCTTCAAGTTCTTCTGGTTAGGGCAGTGAGCTTAATTGTCCTTGCCTCTCATGACATGTGGGATCTCTTGCCCCAAGATGATCCTCTTCTTAAGAAATGTATCGATCCCATGGACGCCCTGGCTCGGTCAACTATCAAATGGGTAAAATCTTCTGCAGAAAAAGCATAGGAAAATGGGAAGTGCTCGACCGGTTCACGTATTTTCAGTCTTCTGTTATATTGATGATCGCCCGTTTCTTGTTAGAATGAACTTAAAAATCGTATTCTTTATGTATAGTAATATGTTAAACCTTCTTTAAACTTGGGGTGATTTGCAAGTAGACCCCCATGCCTTCAAAATAAAAAATCAAGTCCTCAAACGCTACATTAGATTCTCCCACACTGAAAATGTTAGCTTAACTTGTCAATAATCCTTACGACGAATTTAGTGGTTGAATATCTTATTGTAGTTTCAGATCTTCTAAGAAAATCTTGAAAGTTAAAACTGGCAGGAGGGTATGATATTCTGGGTGCTCAAATGCTCTGTTTTTTTAATTACGCTGCAATCCTGTTTGTTGTTAATTCAAGGACATGGGAAAAATTTTAAAGACTATAAAAGAAAACATAGTTTTAAATCTCTGACAGACTTAATGTTTTGTTATAGTGTTCTGTTTTTGCCAACAAGGGTTCTATCTGCAGAATTAAAGACCGGATATTTGCTCCAGAAGTTGCAGGGTGAATATGAGCGTCGAAGGATTCTAATTTCTTCCACAGTGCTATTATTATTTGGAAGGATATTGTTTTGAAAAGGTTACCATAACATCATAAAGAGTCATAAATTTGTCAGCGACTATGCAAAGAGGGAATCATATTCCTCAAATTTCTGTTCAGACTAAACGAAGTAAATCTCCTAAAAGCACAAGGAAGCAACATATTTTTAAATCCAATCAGCATAGATGCGACTGATCCTGTGTACTTCGTTTCTCCTTAAAGCAAATGATTTATTCAGCTTTTCAAGCAAAGTGCCCGTTGACACTACACCACTTGATTCATTTGTAGCAGCAGCAGTTGAAGTTAGCTCTACTCCGCATTCAGCAGTTGAGTGGCCATCAAGTTTCCCTAATTCTGCATTGAAAAGAGGAATCTGAGTTTCTTGAAGTAGATAATCTCTATGGCTCTGCTAACTAGGGTCCTCAACAGACAGGGGGGAAAAGATATATGTTAGCAACAGCATGCTGTGCAAATTAATTAAAATTGAATGAATATGGAGAGATTTTGAAGTAAAATTAGTTTACTATGAATCAATAACATCATGACTAGATGAGCAAGCATTTAAGAGATATTTCTGGTTTAAAAATGTATATGATATATGGATCAGGCCAATCTATAATTTTTTAAGAAACATCAAATACTTAAACAAAACAAAAAAAGAGAGTAAAGATTACCAGCCTCAAAATTCGTTATCAGTGAAGAAGTTTCTGTATTTCCTCCAGCCAAAAATATATATATATATATATATTTGTTTTCTTAGATAAAAATATATTTCCCTTTTTATCAAAGTTGCTGCTGACAAAACGGCAAATGTAATATTGACATTATTTGAATCTCCACTATTTTATAGAACCAGAAACTAAAGGCAGAATGAAGGTCCAAAACCAGTTCAATTTGTTGTAATATTGACATTATATGAAAATCCCTTGCATGTCCTCCACTCGAGAAGGTTAAATTATGTACCTGACTTTTTTTTTTCTATCTCTATGGACTGTCTAATTCCATGGTATATGAGCTGAACGACATGAAATCAGGTTCCACAAAAAATAAACTATAAACTTCAATGTTCTCCATAAGTTTTGCACACTTATGAAGTCGCAACTCTTAACGGAGAGAACCAATAGCAAGCATGCTCAAATTGGTGTTCTAATTTCCTTCTCTTTAGCAACCAATTAATGACAGAAAATCAAGGATCATGGTTTTCCATGCATATTTCATGGACCAAATTAAGGGATATCTAGAAACATTAAACAGAAAGGAAATGAAAATCGTCAATATTTTACCTGCTTGCCCATGAGCAAAGCGACACATACGTCCATGCGGGCAATTCCTCTTCATCTCCCACTTGATGCACAGCTTTGTTTTCAGCTGCACTCTCTTCGGATTCACTTCAGCATCAGAACTCTCATCAAAACCACTCTTACATTCTAATTGATCATTTTTTCTTTTACCATGTCCAGTAGGAATCACTTCTGCTGTTGTAGCGTCTCTAGAATTGACACTGCCAGGTCTTGTATGAAGGAAACGGCAGGCGTTTCCATAGGAGCATTGTTGCCCTTGATAGAACATTCTGCATAGTCTGGGTTCCTGAAATGTTCTATCGTCATTACCAATTTCTTGCCTTCGAAGCTCTCCAACGCAATGAGCAAAGGTACAATCGGACCCAAGCGTACAAATTCCTTGTCTAAACCTTCTGCAGAGTTGAGTCTTGAAATAGCGGGCCTTCGCCTCGTTCAGAACCTGTGCCCTCGAATTTGGGACTGTCGATGGATTCGCGGGCTTCTTGAACGATGGGTATTCGTATTCAAATTCAAACGAAGCAGGGGACTTCTGATTACCATCAAATTTACAAGCGGAAGAAGAAGCGCTACTCATGGCTGTGAAGTTGTTATTGCGTATCAATCTATTTGGTGGCGCAGAAATTGAGGAAGCTCTCGTACTCATATCCGAGAAAAACCCATTTGTCATCTGATGAAGATGATGCATTGATTCTTGGGGATGGGAAGAAACTAAGAAAATATTGGTTTGACGAATGAAATAAATGATATGAAGAGGGGAAGAGAAACCAAAACAAGAAGATGGAGGGTCACGCTAACAGTACCTAAGCAACGAAGAAGAGGAACGATTCTTCAATGTTCTGAAGAAGGTGACATCGTGGAACGCATGATTCAGAGAAGAAGCAGAATTGCCGAATCCCGTTATATATAACACTCGTGAGCGTCGGCATCAACAACGAGCCGCGAAATCGGTGGCAAAATTTCGATGAAAAGACGATAATAGCCTTAAAAGCTTGGACTGTTCGTCCTTCTTGCGACGACCTACGAAGGCCTTTTGTGTCCGAAATGAAAAGGTTGAGACAAGGACGCTGAAAATTAATTCCTCAATTAAAAAAAAAATCTGATTGTTGAAAAATTCTTGATGTATCTATACACCACGTCATCTTTAATCTATTTAATAAAAATTAACATTTAAATATTAATTTTTCCTGATATTGATAATAAAAAAAAGTAAAAAATTAAATATTCATCAGGATAAATTTGTAAGAGTAATAAATAATAAATTTAATGATATTTATTAAAGATAAATTTTATTCTTTAATTAATTATGCGGGGTAGAATTTAATAATAAATTTATTTTTTAACTTGATTTCAAAATTTTCCTCATATTAAATCGAAAGATGAGCACAGTTATGGGAGACCAGCATATTCATCTCCAAGACAATATACTTAAAATAGAATAAATTATTATTTATATTTTAATATACATATGCAAAATAAAATTTAAAATAAAATAAATTGTTATTTAAGTTTAATTTAAATAAATAAACAATTATAAGTAAACTAAAATAAATAATTTTTTAATCTTCCTTATTTTTATTTATTTTTTCTTTTAAAAATTAAAATATCTCATGCATCATATGGGCAATTAATCTAGTTGTGAATTATTATGCTACATTAATTTGGGAGATATTTATTTTGTGAATTTCAATAACTCTTCAAGGTTCAAAGGACCTAATTATTGTTTTCATAAATCATCATATCTTATCTTCCTCTCTCATCCATGAACCTAAGTTGTTATTAAGCATTTACATGTACAAAGACACAAAAATGATTCTTGGATTTAGGAAAATGTACTACATTATAATGTTAACGCGCACACACAATGTAATCTGTTAGTATTAAATAATTGGAAGCTTCTATATGAATGCAGACCTCAAAGTCTTACGGACACAATGACAGTTCCGTTTTACAGGTCATTATAATTTTATGTTTTATGCCTTGTTAGTATTTAATTTTAAATTTTTTACCTCTAACATAATTTAATAAATATTAAAAATAATATTTTTTAAAGAAAATAATTAACACTACCTAATTTGTGGCATGTTAATTCTGTAACTAAATAAGTTGACTTTATTTAATCCAACTAAAGTATGCAAAAGAAATAAGGAAAGTCGCTTCAAAATCCCCACAATATATTTAAATATCACAAGGTTCATTCACAAATTAGTTAAAAAAAAGTAAAATAGTTGTCATTTTTCTTAAAAAAGTAATTGTCATTTCTCTTTGTTGAGTTGTCAATAAATCTGATGATATTTAAATGTGTTGTGTGTGAGAGACTTGCGTATTATTATCCTAAAAAATATCAACCAAGCCGGTATTATTGGTAGTTTAAATAAACTATCCCACCTATTCCAACCCATTTTAATTGCTCTTACTAAGGTCACCAATTACATTCCTACAAATTATGGTGTGTTATGGCTACAAACATTAAATTAGCAGTACTAGGCAATGAAACATCCATGTGAATTAGTCCTATTTAATTTATTGTAATCATAAAGATTGGCCAAACACTACTCCCTCATTTTAACGTTATAAAGTATTTTTTTATAAATATCATATGTAAAAATACAATATATTTTGAATTTTTCAATGTATAATTAATAAATTTTTTTCAAAAATATTCTTTAATTAGAAAGTGTATTTAATAAAATTTTCTAATTGAGATACCCTATTAAATAAAAATAAAGATAAAATAAATATATAATTTTAAAGACAATTAACTAATACATTGAACAGTATGATTTAATTAAAATATTTATATATAATACTGAATATGAGAGTAATTTATACTCCTAATTCTTAATATTAGCAACACTCTAGGAGTACTTTTATTGCCCTAAATACAAGACATTATAGAAAAGGCTTGTACTATCTTTTTTTCCATTCAAGCCCTCTCTCTATCTTCAATTAAGAGGTGACGACTTGATTTTTGAATTTAATACAATTAACAAGGACAACGGTGAAAAATATTTGATTTTTTTAATTTAATAATTTGACCAACTTTTTAGTCAATTTTTAAATATGTGTAAAGTAATTAAAAATGAACTACATTAAGGTCCAGAGTAGCATGTAACAAGATATCATCAATCTTCATCACCCTAATTGAAAGAATTGGCATTGACATGAAATTAAAAATTTTGACAAATAAATAGATAAAATTACTAATGCATTCTCATACTGTTGACAGCCAAATGCAATAGATATATTACTCAAAGAAATCGAACTAGTTCTCTGGTTATGTGTTTCTCCCTTCTCCAACAGACAAAGAATAACGGAAAAGAATTTGCTAACAGCTATCACAGTAACAGACAACAAAGGATGAAACAGCATATTGGATCATTTTGTTCTTCTGTATACCCAAACCCCAATTTATTACGTGATTCAAATAGCATTACAAAAAAACCACCATGAGGTCTACTGAAGCTTTATTCCAGGAAATGACGGCAAGACTGCTATGAGTGCATCACCATATCCAACAGGCTCTGTGAAGGAGACAAGACCAGCAAATTATGAAGATATGTGACACGACATCAACACACTATTAGTTTAACATATTCCCAAGTTAAGTTTGAGTTGACTAAACTAACCTCCATCCTCTCTGAGAATCTTGACAATCTCCCCCGATACATCAGACTGGAAACAGACATGAACAAATTATCAAATATTGCAAGGGTTATTATACTTGTCATGATCAACACAAGAGTATGAAAACATTTCAAGTCTATGACCCAAACCTCGATTGGCAGTTCACCACCAAGCTGTTCTACGTAACATATCGCTTGGCCCTCCTTAACTATTTGCTTCTGTCAATTCCAGGTATGAATGGTTGTTAATCATAAATTCATAATCTAGCATGTCAATCTTGTTAACTTCAAGAAATTAATAGATGACATATGGGTGCGTATGTGCACGTGAAATATAAAAGCTGATAACCAGTCTTTCAGTGATTGGTGCAATTTCCTGAAGATGGAAAACTTTCGCTATAAAATTTAGTTTCTGATTCGAGAGAGAGGAAAATCAAATATAGATAAAATTCACAAAGGAAAGAATTATTCACATCTACACAAGCTCCCTGCATGTAAATAAGTAACATTATCCTTGACCATCTAACAAAACTAAATGGAATAAGAGAGAGCGAGAAGAGAACAAGAAAGGAATGACATTACCTCTTTACATGATGGTGGAGCACGCTTTCCTTTATCGTTCGAGATGTCCTAAAGAAACCCACCTGCTAAATGGTTTGAGTTTATGTTGTAACTTATAAGGAATATAAATAATATAAAAGATATGTTCTTACCCTCGGGGATGTAATTATCACCAAGCCTTCGTCTGCAGCTTTATCCAGAAATCCCTTACCCTCCGAAGAAGCTTCTGGCTTAGAGATAGCCAAAGATGATGCGGAAACTGATCCATTCAAATCAGATGATTCTGTGACAGTGTTTGCACTAACAGCAGGGGGTGCTGGAGGAGGTACTGCTATACTTTTCTCGGTAAAACCCCGCACCACATGCAGGTGAAATCCAGCAAGCTGATTTGATAACACCAGGGAATTAGGCAGTTGGGGGTGAAGAAAGGAAAACTCAATAAGAAAAAAAAGAGCTTTAGAAAATAATATCCTAATATCCGATGACAGAGAGAAATGAATAACATTAGCTTTTGAAGATACTGAAACTCTGTTCAACTTCATTTTTCTTACCTTCAATTCTAGTTCCTGAACTGACTTTTTGTGTCACACAATTCATTGAGCAAAAATTGCACCTGCCAAGATGTTGATGTAAAATATAACATTTTAGAGTGAGAAAGTACACAGGCATGTCACAGGACATGTTCGCCATGAATCTTGATTGCTCCATGTTCAGCAATAGGATATTTGAAGACAAAATAAATGAAATGCTTATATCTCACAATGTAGAAAATCGACTCAAGCCTCTCTTGCAAGACTATACAAAAAGGTTTTTCAGCATGCTAAAATTTCCGAACCAAGGACTACAAAATATTTTACATCAAAGATAAATGCATAAGCCTGATCAGCTTAAATCACATGGAGTTGAAAATATAACGGGTAGGCATATTTGCTTGAAACCACATTCATCTCTGACGCTTTGCTAGCATGGCCTGAAAGAGCTCAAGGTACAGAACTGAATACATAGTGTAAGATTTCAAGCAAGATGATGACCAGCTTTAGATCACCACATAAACTGGGTTAAGATGTATATACGATAGACTTTATATGAACACACAATGACGATTACTAGAGCTGTATAATTTAATTACTGAGAGACTAGATCAAGCAAGTAGGCACAAATATATACTGAAGAAGCCTATATATTGAGTTCAAACAATGTTTGAAACTCACAAGTGTAGTTGGTACTAGGTAGTCCAAATGACCATCTTAACAAAGCTAATGAGTGATATTTAGAAAAAATCATATTACAGTCAGCACCAAATCCCCGCATAGAAGAAAGATAACAGTAGGGCACATATTAATGCAACATCTTTATCCAAAATAGTAGTGACACAAGCATAATCAGCAATATACAGATTGCATAATAATTATGTCATTATAAAGTAGGTTGTCTTGTATAATTTGGCATGTAAGAGTAATGAAGATGATTAAAAAACTATGTACTAACCTCATTTATATTGGGAATAAGTTCACTTGTTGGACCTGAAGACTTAACCTCTTCAGAGCCATCTTCTGAACTTGCAGCAGCTGTTAAATAACCAATAAAGGGTTGTGATGGAAGCTAGAATATTGTATTACTTTCAAGTTAATGGACTTCACAATATCCAGTGCTTGAATTGCTTTGTAAGATTTGACTATTTTAAATAGCTTCACTTAAACATTCCCTTGAGACTATGAATCAGAATATGTCTACTACTTTAAAAATGAGTTGTGAAAATCATCCAACATAGCAAAAAGCAGTTTCCAATCTTCACCATCTTTCTGTCAAACTAGGAGAAGCATTTGAGAATTTAGGTTTCTAGAACTTGTTCTAAGCGTAGTTTTTCCTGGTACTGTGTGACAACGTCAGTTTCCAATTGTATCATGAAAAATTGAGATGAACTTCATAAATAGTGGTTCTTACAGATTATATATTAAAGTTTAGATCAATATTTCAATCTTAAGCTCATCATTGAACTAACTTACAACTTTTTTTTTGCACCAAACAATTCAAATTAAAAGAAAGATTTTTCACTCTTAAAAATGTAATTCTTAAATAAAATTTGAGATTATGCACTTTGAACAATTTTCGGCATAAAGATAGTATTTTGAGATTATCCTATTCCATGCGCAGGCTAGTTTGCTTGTTGCTTTGCTCTTTTACGTTTTTAGTTTTTGTCTTTCTGGTTGCCAGAAAACAAAAGAGATGAATTAAGGTATTTAACATTTGCCCAATGTTAAGCATGTACTATTCAGTGTAAAATATTTCTATCCAAAGGGATGTGATTTATTGTTATGCTTCCACATATATTATCTTTGAAACTTTTTAATGCTAAATGACTGACTTCATTTCACTATTATATGTATAATATAACTCAATTCATTGTATAACTTAATTTAAGGCGCTTTCTTATACCAAGCCAACATATGTAACTAATTTTATACTCTGTTTAAACTATCACACGAACATACCATAATACGAGATGCGGACCCAAATTTAACTGTATGTTATAGATTCTTCCAAAAACAGAAAAGTTTAACGGACGATCACTTCCCAACCTCTAACTAAAATAGAAATAAACCAAATCAACTAATGATATTAGAAAATTTCATACTGGCTAGAGAAATTTATATAATCGTGAAGGAAAACTACTGTTAAACAAAGAAGCATACTTACACTGGCTTGTTAATGATGGACCTCTGCATGCAGTTAAAAATTTAACTGATCGTTCTGATGAGATCAAGTGGGTGTTTTGTAGTGACTTTCTGCCGGTCCAACTTCTTATAGCATACTGTTGTGATATTCCGACTCTTTTACTACCTGTACCTAAGTTGAACAATTTAATATTTGACGTTCCTAAGCTACCTGCAATACAATTCAAGAAACATAAATCTCCCACCATGGGCATGGTCAATACCTAGATATTATCACAACAAAATTATTTTCAAAGGAAGAGTAGTATTTGGCCGATATATAGTTTAACTAATGGATAGAATTCAGAGGACTCATTGATCTTCAGTATACAAAGTGAGGACTGAAATTGTTTTGTAACGTTAAATATAAAAATCAAAGAAGAAAAGGAATAAACAAAGTGAGTGCACTAGAAATGATCTTGGGGCTGAAAAATTCAATTTCAGCACTCATCAGTTTATCATAGTTAGCTTCAAAATTTTGAAGGTGGACATATATTCTTTGCAACCATTTATCACAACGCAATTACAGCCATGCTAGTTTCTCCTTCTGCTTGCTGTCTATTTTCTAGGTTTATAATAGCAAGGCCATCTGCCAGTCACTCCAACACTATGTCAAGTAGAACAAAAACTAAAGCACAACAGGAATATGTGCTACATCTAGTAAAAGGATAAAGTGGTTATAATGCAGCATCAGTAGTGGCTTTAATAGATGAGGGCAAAGATTAAGCCAGTGAATTACTGCTGAGAAGCCTCAAACATCAATGGAAAGAGAAATGCAGAAACCTTACATTGTTCATTTAAACTGTAACACAAATCATAGAAAACAATGTCCTTTTCTCTTCTAAGGATGCTACCTACTAACAAAACAACAGTTTAGTTTCAATACGAAGTAAGTCCTGTATTCTTTCAGCCACACCATTAGTTAAACAATGGACATTATCCTAACTAACTTATCGAGAAAGACATACAAATTAAGCTTGAATAACAGAACAATATCTACTGGACCAATTACTCGTTAAGCTGTCAAAGGTTTAATTGAAAAACATGATGGAAATACATCAAAATTGATGCCTCTGATATTGATGGGCAACAATAGTATACCTGTGATTCGTATTGCCTGCTGTGTATTTGACAACAGTCTGATTCTTTTATAATTAAAACGTAAGGATGGTACATTAGACCCTGATGTTACTTGACCAAGATTTTTTTTTTTTTTTAAATCTGCAGTTAAGGCCTTGACATGATAGAGGAAGGCCAAAAAGAACATTTATAGAAGTTATTGATTGAGACATTTTAGTTAACAACATTTCTAAAAATTTGATAAATGATAGAAATAGAATATAATGGCATTGTACAATTCACGCAGCCAACCCCACCTAATGGGATAAGATTTGTTGTTGTTGTAAGGCCTTGACCTGAAAACCTACTTTCTTTCTACTCAAGCTTCATTAATTGCTAGGCGGCTCTTCAATTTTGCATCATATTTTCTTGGTGGATAAAAGAGTAGAGGCAAGTACACAAGAAATTGTCAAATTCACATCCTATTAATATCAAATCCGAACACATCATACTACCACACTTTTTCTGTAAATGTTTTTAGTACCGAGTCTCAGACAACCCTATATTACATTGCATGGTCACTATCTTCATACTCAGAGACTGTAAAATCCAACAATTGATGCTTTTTAATAAAATAATTTAGGTTAACCCAATTCACTTAGTAAGCTCCTCTTCTATATACAAGTAGAAATTCTTCCACCCTTCATTATAGCTGAAGGTGGTTGTTTCCTGAAGACTTCCATATCTCTAAAAGAGGGCAACTTACACTTCTGCCTCTAATTGTTCACGATATTAAAGCAGAAATGCAGTGAAAGCATAAAGCTTGGGTTCAACAAATCCAGAAGAGAATAGAATATTAGCATAAAGATTGAGTTCCACATTCCCATAAAAACCAGGATGATGTCCCAACCCCTTACTCACAGAAATTGAGAAAAAAAGTAGAGGAAAGGCAGAAAGAAGGGAGGAAGGATTAATTTCTGACCCGAGTTAGCAATTGCAAACTTTTAATCGAAATAATGGAATCACTTTGTCGTCACCAATAAGAGAAGAATGAAAAAGGAAAGCAAGAAAAAAAGACTCACATGAAGCCATTGAAATTCGACCGGCAGAGCAAGGGGATAAAGAATCGTGCTAAGAGTAAGCGATTCTGAGTCTCAGAAGCAGGTGAAGAAGGTTCGAGAAGAGAATTTGAAGACTCAACCAAAAGCTCACGATAGGGGAAGCGCCTGCCACTGCCAATTCCGGTAGCCAAGAGAAGAAAGAAGAAGAAGCAAGCACGGCCGTTAAAACCACAACCGCTCAACCAATATTGCTACCTTGAAAATTGAAATTTTAATGAACGCACGAAAGGGTATACAGTATGCATTTCATTTCACAGCTGGACTCGATTTGGATCAATTGGTCCCATCCCATCGTCTTCAAAATTAGTTCTTTTTGTGTTTTTATATAGGAAAAGTTTAATGTAAGTTCTTAATGAATTCTTCAATTAACCTAATATTTCACTAAATATATTTAACTACATTGTTTTTCATTTTTCAAATGTTAATATTATTTCAACTGCAATATAAGCGTTGTTATCAAATTAAGAAACTAAAATAAAAATATTGAGAGAAAAAGTAGAGTGAAGAGAATGAAAAAATTTCTTATATATTATTATATCTTTTAATACACATAACATGCCTTATTTATATATATGATCTTACATATTAAATGTTACACAAATAATAAAAGCATGAGATTTTCATAAGAGAAGATGAAGATAAAGATGAAGAAGTGAGAAAGATAGACATCTATTATCTTTTTAATATTTATAACACTTCCTCTTAGATATTCATTATATAAAAATGTGTCTTATTAAAAACTTCAATTAGGAAAAACCCTATGAAAAAACCTAGTAGAAGAAAATAATGCATTATTTATGTATATGTTATTTAATGCTACCTCATTAAAAACGTTACTAGAAAACTTAATGGTAAAAAACCTTAGACAAGGAAAAAAAAATACAATGCATATTAACTCCCTTTCTTGACAGTATCAATTGATATATCTAAGTTTACGAAGTACAATATTATGAACAAGCTTGATTTTAGCAAGAAGTGATTTGGGGCACATATCAGGTAGATTTTCTTTAGAACAAATTTGTTGGGTATTAATTTCACCATTCTTTTGAAGATCATGAGTGAAAAAAATTTAGTGAAATATGTTTCATTTTATCTCATTTAATATACCCTTCTTTCAATTAGATGATACAACTAATGTTATCTCTGTATATGATCATTGGTAATGACTGTATATTTTTATATATTTTTAGAAGTTTTATTGGTCAATTGGAGAGTCATCTACTCATTTTTGTTTGTTTGTATTGTGTTTAGTGTTTATTTTAGTGTAAATTAGCTTGTCTTGTAAATATTATATTTTGTTTTATTTTACAATACTTTCTTTTGTTAATTTGAGTCATTTTAATTTTAGGAACCTTTGTAAAAGCTTGAAAGATGTGAAGGAAGGAAAATATAATAATTTTTATAAAGAAATTAAATTTTAATGATCAACTGCTATAGTAGCTATTATAGTAGGTCAGTCTTATAAAGCAAATAAGGCAAATTATAGCAGGTTAATGTTATAAGGCAAATTTTGAAATAGAAACAAAACCCACTACAATGGGCTACAAAGGATTTCGCACTAGAACTCATAATTTTAGTTTTTTTGTTTGATAAAAGAGTGAAATTAGAGTTTTTCGATAGAGATTTCATTTTTTTATGTTCTCTTAAGGTCCAGGGGCAATTGTGGAGAGCTTGGGACTATTTTGGAATAAAATAACTCATCACCATCTACATTTTCATTGAGTTTTTCTTCACTTTTCTCTTTCTTTCTCTTATGTATATGATTTTGTCCCATTACTTTGCTATTTTAAGACTGTACTTGGCTATATGTGGTTGAATCTTGATGCTCTAGAGTCTTATGAACTCATTTGCTTTAGTTGTACGTTGATTTACTAATTACTTTATGATTAATGAATGTTTTATGTTTTAATTTCAGTTTATATTTGTGTTGCTTGATGATTCACCACCATTAAGTGATAATTTAGAGGAATAGAATGAACTTGTGAAAGGAATTTCTTTTTAAACCATTGAAATTGAATGCTTAAGATTAACTATAGTCGATTTGCCTTTAGGACATAAATGTACCTAAAGGACCTAAGTGGTTAGAAAGGATTTGAACTTAATACTCTTAATTATATTTTGATAAGGAATTGTTGGGTTAGAATTAAGAAAGATTTTGGGTAATCAAAAGATATTCAAGACTAATTCTAGTGTCTTAACCCTTAAAACCAAAATTAAAATCAATTTAATTGGTAAATTGTATGCAATGGAGCAAATAAAGGATTAGAATTCTATAGTGCTTTCCTTATCATTTCTTGACTTTAGAACGCTTCAAATTCTTAGTTGCCTACTTTACATTTTTTTATTTTTAATTTGAATCATTTACCACTATAATTTTCTTGCTTAATGTGAATGAGATTGAGAATTTAATACCTATTTGCCAATTTATTTAATTCTCTATGAGATTGACCTTGATTTGCCATTAGCTACAATTGTGATTAGTACACTTGCAGTGTCTATTGGTGTTTATGTGCATCAGTCGAGAGGTTTGAAGATAGACCACAAGTAGTTCATATGTGATGGATTAATGATTTTAACCATGCATATTCTCGACTTGCTTCATGTACATTTAGAATTTTTGCATGATTAGATGATGTGGCTGATATTGTTTGTTTTATAGATCGCTATGAAATGGTTGTACCACCACATGTGAACAAATAGCCTATCTATAATCTACCAACATGAGGATTAGACAAAAATAATCCAACATCTGCATAACCAATAAGGTCAGCTTTAAGTGTTTTGAAATAAAATAATCTCATATCTATAATACCCTTAAGATAATGAAAATGCGCTTAACTCCATTATGATGCCTGCATGTTGGTGAAGAACTATATCTCTCTAATAAGTTAATGGCAAATGAAATATTAGGCCGCGTGTAACTAGCAAGACATATTAATGTTCTGATTGCATTAAGATATGGTACTTCTAGACTAAGTAATCTTTCATTTCAAGGTCTAAAAGGATATTTATATACCTTCAATGATCTTACAACCATTAGAGTAGATAATGGATGTGATTTATGTATATAAAATCATTTCAAGACCTTTCTTGTATAAGTTTCTTAATATAGAAAAATTTCATTATTCACATATTTGACTTGTAATCTAAGGTAAAATTTTGTTCTTTCCAAATCTTTCATTTTAAATTATTTCTTTAAGGAATTTATAATTTTTGAAAGCTCTTCAGGCATTCCAATAATATTTTTTCCATCAACATAAACAACAATTATAACAAACTCTTTTTAGATCATTTTATAAAAATACAAGGGTAAATTAGATCATTTTTATATCCTTCTTTCAATAGATATTCACTAAGATGATTATACCACATATGCATTGATTGTTTCAATCCATTTAAAGAATTATTTAACTTGATAGAATAATTTTCTTGAGAACTTGAATAGTTTGCTTCTAGCAATTTGAATCCTTCAGGGATTTTTATGTAAATGTCACTATCGAGTGAGCTATACAAAAGAGGCTGTAACAACATCCATTATACACAAATTGAGTCCTTTACTTTTTGTTGGACTAATTAATATAAAAAAGTAATTGCATCCACCATTGGTGAGTATGTTGTAACAAAATCAATTCCAAGATTTTGTGTAAATCCTTAAGTCATAAGCCATGCCTTATACCTTATAATTTCAACATTTTCTTTTTTTTCCATACAAAAACCCATTTATATCCAGCCAGTTTGACATCTGAAGGATGGACTATAGGTCTAAAGACTTTTAGCTTTTCAAGTGACTTTAATTTTGCCTCAATTGCGTCTTTCTATTTTAACTAATCCTTTCTTTGTTTACATTCTTTAGTGCACTTTGGTTCATGATCCTCATTATCATTTATTACATCAAGCTACATTATATGCAAAAATATCATCAACGTTGACTTCATTTTGGTTTCATTGTATTCCATTCATAGCATAATTTATTGAGATCTCATTATTTTTGCATATTTCAGATACATAAGTTTCTTTTGGAATTGAAATATTGGTAGTATCAAGTGACTTTTCATAAGTTACTATTTTTTCTTGATTATTCTAGATCTAATCATCTGTGCTTCTAGCTCCCCCTTTTTTTTATAAAGATTTTTACCTTTGAAATCAATAGGCCCACCACATTTTATGTTTGCTTTAAAATCATTTGCAATAACAGGTTATCCATTAAGGACATTTATCTCCTTTTTTGGGCGTTGTTTGCCTAATTTTACATAATAAACTATAAACATTTTTTTGGGAGAAATGTTATAACAATACCCAAACTAACAAAGGTTGGTTTGGTTGGTAAGGATTTGGTCTATAACATGCAAGGTTATGAGATCACATTCCACTACTAATGTGATGACATTGTTAGTGAGTAATTTATAAGTATATTTGTAAATATTTTTTGAGTCTAAAGGCATGTCTTAACTCTAATAAGCTTCTTGGACCCAACTCACCTAAACATTTCAAGACAAAAAAATGTTATAATAATAATAATATAAAAAAGTAATATGCCGCACATCTCACAAATGTTTGACTCATGATCTCTTAGTTCTGACATGTTGACATGAGAAGAGGATTGAAAACGATTTTGACTTTGTAGGACTCACATGTAAAGTGTTTAAGGATCACTGTAAATTTTGTTAAATCATGTGAATATATTTTGAAATTACTATAAATTATAATGATTAATTAATTAATTTTCTATTTTAAAATTACTTCAATCTTTTTCCAAAAACAGCTGAAATATGAAGGGACAATTATATAAGAAAATTAATTACTACAAGATCCATTGATAGTTAAATTACGGTTATTGACAATATAATTAATTGTCAATTGTCTTAGTTCAATTGTTAATGAATCTTACAGTATTTAATTTTTTTATATGAAATTTTAATGTAATTCTTTGAAATATGAAATGTCGAAATAAATAATAATTCCAACTTAACCAAAAAGTTCTAAAATGACATTGTTTGGCCCAATTTTTTTTTTTTACAATATTGAATTGGACCTGGGCTCATTTGGATTCCACTATGGCAACCCTAAATGTAGTGACCAATTCTTAGTTAATCATAATGTTGAGGCCCAACCACAGTAAAAAAAAAATTGTTGAGGCCCAACAAATTCAATTCATTGTCTAAGTTTTACCCCTTCAAATTTTTTCTTCCTCCTCCTCTAAACAAACTATTTTAGCACTCCTTCCCTTCCAAAATAACTTTTATATATGATAATGGATCAATAT